TTGCCGATTGCTGCTGTCTTATCCCCACCATTCTCGGGCAAGGGCTGTGCATTTGCAGCAGGCTGCGCTCTTGGCCCTGGCCCAGGGCCAGGTGAGGAGCCTGTTGGAAATTGACGAAAGCCGATCCCAGTTTGTTTGGAAATGAAAATAATAATATTTCTTCACATTTGTTCAGTGCTTTACTGTTGATGTAATTCTTGTGCATTCGGCATCTCATTTTAACTGCACAACAGCCCCGTATGTGGGCGGGTCGGGGGCCATTGGCCCAAAAGGAAACGTACCTCCGTAGAACTAGTGCAGAAGCTCCAGCCCTCTGGTAATGCCAAGCTCGTGTCACGCGTCCCATCTGCAGAGCTGGGAGCACAGCAGTTCTTCCTTAAATGGCACCTTCGGCCAGAAGGCCTCCTGGGATTTTACAGTGAGGCTGGGCAGATCTTTAAGGAGTGAGATGGTACACCGAGAGGGCGCGTGTCCATTTTATGAGGGCGACAACTGAAACGGAATAGAGGGGATACGGCAAAAAAGGGAAGTGTAATAGGGAGGCCACCTTGGACCTTTCTTGAGCTCTCTCTTTACCCGAGATATTATAGAGAAATCCCTTGGAGCATTTGCTGCTACATTTTCTTGAATGTCCATGAATAGTCTGAAGTTGAAGCAGAAAAACCGGCCTAATGGATTTGAAACTAATGATTCTGCTGTGCAGGTTGAGCCTTTCCGTGCATTTAGAATGAGGATCTCTTCTGTGGTTCTGCGGGGGCATAGCCAGATTGTGACTTTGTGGGCCTCCTCTCTTTCTCTTTTTTTCTTTTTTTTTTTTGGACTCCAGAGTAATTCCGTCTCAAGTGCAGTATTATATTTTCTTGATCTGCCTCCTGAAAAAAAAATTTTAAGTAAGAAAAATACTTCTGGATATTTTGTCTGCTTTTTAGGGATTAGAGTTTGCAGCTGCTCAGTACATTTCTAAAGGGATGCAGACCCTTTTCTTTAAATGCCCAAGTATTACACAACCTGACTCCAGGGGCAGGGAAAGTAAAGAAGCTGTACAAACAAATGATAGATGGAAAAGATATAAAGACTAAATTTCAATCTCCTAACCGAACGAAGTTCCCTTGGCTCCGGCAGCCCCACGTAAAATAAGGCTGCAAAGTTGCTGAAGCAGGAAACCACTCTAGCAGAACCTGAATGCGCTCCCTATGAAATCACGTCTCGTTGACTTGCTTATTTTCCAGCCTGAAGTGTGTTTCATCTTTGTTCGTGTTGGCCGGGAAAATTGTCTCTATGGTATATTTGCGTTCCTCTCCTACTACATGCCCTTCGCCTCTTCCACTCCGCCGCTGCCCCAAAATAAATACATGAATTAATTAAAACCCCTCAGTTGAAAGGAGGAATATGTATGTCCAAGAAAGCATACAAACTCAAAGAACTTAAAATATTGCCTGAAAAACTTCAGTAATAGTAAAAGAGACTAGGGACCCATAGGAGAAGCAGATGACAGAGTTTCTTACTATCTTGAAAGGACTTTTTAAAGTAGAAATCGTGCATGGAATCCCCATGTGTGCAGCTGATCCAAAGCAGTATTTTATTGGTGTAAATCCACTTTTAAAGTGCAGGTTTACGATGTGTACGCCATCACAGGGTCAGTCAGTGGGAGCAAGGAAGCTGTGTTCATGACCCCAAAATATTGAAATTGGGATTATAAATCAGAGTTGTAGTTTTATATCAGTTCCAGCATCCAGGTTATTTCTGGTTCTGATTTGGGTTGCCCAATATCAAGAAAATCCTGATTCACACAGATGAATTATAATCTTGAGATAGTTTTAAATTGAAAAAGGATATTTTTGTTTTGAAGTTGACTCACTAACATTACCTAGCAGCTGTTCCATCCCCCTTCATAAATATTATTGGGTAAGCTCGAAAATGCATAACAAGCAAAAAAAAATTGATAATGATGGGATGGCATTGAGCGTTCTCACTACCCGGCCATTGTCTAACCTGAGCCCAGTCTAGGGCTCTGAGCCTTCTGTGGCATGTAATTGAACTTGGCCACTGTGTGTCAAATCATGTGCTCACCTGCACAGCTTTAACTAAGGAGGCACACAGGCTTGAATTAAAAATGAAACCTGCGCAGAGCAACATCCGTTCTAACCAACGGCACATTTTTCAGAAGTTCAAATACACGCCTCGGTTCCTTATTCCAAAGTTTGCACAGAACGAAGCTTGCCTAGTGGCCAGTGAGACACTGTGATAGCATCAACCGCAGGGAATCTGGATGCCTTACACGTTTCGCTGGGGTTGCTCATTTGAATGGATGTGTCACAGTTGTTTGAAATTGAAATGTGTTCCTCTAATTCTGGGGTTTCTCAGAACACACTTTGAAAACTGCTGCTCACCGAAACCAATCATAGTCATCCCACCACTGGATGGTAAAGTATGTGCTGAAAGTATGTTACCACCCCCGAACTTCCTGGATTAATTATAAGTCTATAATTCTGACTGCATTTACAAATTTATTAGTTTGAAGGCATAAGGCTTTTTATTTTAAAAGATGCCTACTTCTGCCCATTCTTTTTATTAACTCATCTTTGTTTACTCATCCTTTCTTTTGAAGGTCCCCTGGGGATTTATGCTCTGTATCCTCTTCCGTGGTATCCGATTGGTTTTGCCTCTCCTGCCTCCACTTGTGATCTGCGGTGTACGTTTGCGGGCTAGCTGGCCCTTTGTTCCTACCTCTGATGTTCCGCGGTATTACAGGTCTTTCTTTCTCTCTCACACTGCACTATGATACCAGCACTTTTACAACTAAAAGCCCCTAATACTGTACTTTGTTCATTTCAGATACAAACGTTTATATATTTGTGAAACTGAGTTGTAGTACCATTGTTACATGTATGAGCCCTCTAGGGAAAGACCTAATAGAGACCACCAAACCCAGGTCCACCCATAAGAAGTAGACCGAGCAGTCATCAAGCTCAGATCTTGTGAGATCTGCTCTTTTAAAAAAGCAAGTGTAATTGCCTGATCTATTCCATGCTTACTGAGGACATGGATACTTTGCCACCCAACAAAAATGTAAATTTGATTACTTAGGATTTGGTAACTGAAACTGATTTGGAATGCATTAGAAAGTTTTCTTGCACTGGAAATACCAAAGGTCACTGAACGCCTGTGTTCAACTTTGAGTTTAGGATTGTTTCTTATTCACTTTTTTTTGGTTTGTTTTTCAGAGGCTAAACATTTTGAAGGGAGTAGATTAATTACATGTCTATCTCTCTCTCTCTCTGGGCTAGTGTGTGTGTGTGTGTGTGTGTCCACAGAAATCTTTCAATTTCCCTAGAAAAGTAAGAGGACGTAATACCGCTGAGGCAGTCTGAACAGAAGTATTTGGTGTTCTGACTGCAGAGGTGTCATGCCTGGGGCAGAGGTGGGGGTGGGGAGCAGATAGAGAACAGCTTCAGTTTGGACTCTAACATTCATTGGTTTAAAGAAGCTTCTTAGTGCTGGCTAGACAGATTTGATGCAATGGTCTGGTGCGTTCTGAAGCCAGAGGAGGTGTGGTGTGATGAGTTGGGAATCGTCACCTTACTACAGAATTGGAAAAGCCCCTTCTAAAGTTGAATTCCGTGCTCTACAAATCACAGCTGCCCGACAGCTTCCAGCTCTGAATGCAGGCAGTGCTGACTCAAGAACCAAGCCACTGTCCACTCAACTTTCTTTGCATTTAAGAGTCTGACTGTAGGGAGGGAAGGAGGAGAAGAGAAGTGAACAGGTTGTGATTCTTTGCAATGATTAAGACCCTTCTCTACACTTACAGGACTTGGTTTTGAATTCCAGCTTTGCTACTTTTTTAGCTATGTGACCTTGAAGAAGATATTTAACTTTTCTCAGGCAACTTCCCACATCTGCTGAATGTGGTTAATAATAGGCCCTTTACATCAGGTTGTTTTAGGGTTCAAGTTAAGTAATGTGAATATAGGGCCTGACCATGTGCCAAGTGCACGGTAAGCGCTTGATAAGAAGTGTAACAAGCAACCCCTACTTTCAGTTTCTCTTTTTAAAGAAATCCAGCTCGCAGTTGCAGAATTTTCTGGTGCTTAAATTGGTGCTTCGAACTGTGTAGATCATCAGTTGATTCTCTTGGATCACAGTGTTTTCATTAGAAATGAACACCCAGGTTTGGCACTTAACTGCTCTTCTCAGACTGTGAAATTTTAAGGATACACGTGTTCAGGTATGGTTTGTGCTTGGTTGTATGGGGCAAGACATAATGGGTCAACCAGGGAGCTCAACACCTCCTTAGAGGGGTTCTGTGGGCCTGAGGAGGTTTTAGGGACTTTTTTTTCATGGCATGGGCCTCAAAAGTTGTTGTCCTTACTGAATCCTAACATGAATAATGTGTGGGGATGTGGTCTGTAGTGCTCTTGTGATTTTTGTCTCTAGACCTCCTAAGTTTTGTCTCCAAACCTAGACACAAACCAAATGTCTCAGTGGCTAAGGTTATGGACTTTGGAGTCAGACAGCCTAGACCTGACCTAGTCAGATGACGCAGAGCTGTCATTCTAGTCCCTGATGCCCTCTTACTGTCTCTGTGACTTCTTTCTAGTTGTGGGCAAGTGAGAACTTCTCAGAGTTTCAGTTTTCTGATTAGTAAAATGGGGATAACAGTAGTTCTTCTCTTACAGGGAAATGATGAAACTTTTGGGGATAATACATATAAAACTTTTACCAAGTTCCTAGAACATAATGGATGCTCAACAGATAATCTTGCTTCTCCTCTTTCTTCTCCTCTTTTCGTCTTCCTCTCTCCTCCCTCCTCTTCTCATGATTCTTATTTTCTCCACTGAGCTTTTAGATAAGAGAAAACTAGAAGTGTAGGCTTCAGGAAAGATACCTGTTTCTGCCTTGGCTTTGATCACTGATTTTATGACACGGACTGTATTCATAGCTGTTGAACCTGGCTACTCACCGACACTGATTTTTTTTTTCTTGCTGTTTCTCTGCAGGAAGGATCAGAATGTTCTCTCTCCAGTCAACTGCTGGAATCTCCTCTTAAACCAGGTGAAGCGGGAGAGCAGGGACCACACCACCCTGAGTGACATCTACCTGAATAATATCATTCCTCGATTTGTCCAAGTCAGCGAGGACTCAGGAAGACTCTTTAAAAAGGTATATAGCTATTTCCAGGCACAGAAATACTTGGGTGGAGCAAATACTACCATCTTGTAAATAAGAGAAAGGCTACTGTATTGGCCTAGTTAAAAGGCTTTCCATTGGTCATTCCTTACCCCGGTCTTGTGCAGAAAAAATACTGACTAGTCATTCTTTTCTTCCTTTCTGAGTTGAATTAATAGTAGTCCTGGGAGAGGAACCATTTGCAAGGTACAACCCCACCCCTGGAAATATAATTAATAATCTGCATGTTTTAGTGATGACGGTGTTTGCTTGATTGATTACCTTAAGAGATTTGTGAAGCCGTTGAGATTTGGGGACCGTCAGTGTCATTTCAGGTTTTCCTCTTCTAGTTCATGTATGCTTGTGTGTTAGTTTAGTTTTCTTTCTAAGTGCTCATCTTGGCCAAGGTGAACACATGAATTTAGTTATTCTTATCATGACATATCTTTGGGTCATGACAGGTCTTTGGGTCCCTGAATGCTTTTTGAAGCTCAGTTGCTTTTTACAATTCCTTGGATGTAAGTTGGAAAGTCTGACCAAGGAAAAAACTCAAAATTAATTGTGGTAATCTTAAGAAACTTATGCAAAACTGCCCTTACCTGTTAGTGGTGGAAATCATCTCTTGGAACTAAGGAAACTCTCTTCTAAGCTCTCTCAGCCTGAGCTCTCAATGGAGTCATTGATTCATGACTTTTAGTGACAAATGATGGCAAAATCCCCAACCATTGTACGTAATGTACCATGTCTAACATCCAAGCTCTGCTATCCCCCGAAGACTTTTCAGAAGGCAAATAATCCTCCCACAAGTTCTAGGTATAATGAGGGTGTATACGGCTATTTTGTTGGTTTCAAATAAAGGACATTCATTGGTTTTCATTTGACAAAATCCAGTGTTGAGATCCGAGGCTGGTAGAGAAAGAACTTCAGTAAACAGGACCGTGGTCAATCGTAGCTAGTATGCCAATTCCTAACATTAGGAAGTTTTCCAGATTTCAGGAGGTCTGGAATTAGAACCCAGTCTCTTCTGTTGACACCAGCATGAAAAAAAGAACTGATTTAGAATATCCCATCAACATAATGCATCTGTGTAGGGGCTTTTCCTGTGTCTTAGAGACAGGATATGAAGAGTAAAAAGCATCTGACAATGAAAAGAAGGAAGAGAAAGAGAGCTCCTCCCGGAGTTCATGGACTATTTTTAGTGGCCTGGCTCTGCTGCGGTTGGGGCCGTACTTCACTTAGGGGTGAAGGTACTTTTCACCATTTCCTCATGGCTTCCAGCATCTGCTCTAGCTTCCTTGTCATTCATCTGAATGATTCTGCAGCACTTGGTGATGTATGGATGTGGCTAAAAAGAACGACTGTAGCTAAAACTGTACTGAATGCTGGAAATGTGCCACGGAGTAGATTTCATGTGCTCTTTTCACACACACATGCAGGTAGCTAGTGAGGTGGTATGTGAGTTGGCTCGGCTGTAGTGATCTCTGCACTACGTATACATCGGTATCCAATCGTAATGTCGTACTCCATGGGGCGCCTAGGTAGGTCATTGGGTTAAGCCTCTGCCCTCGGCTCGGGTCATGATCCCAGGGTCCTGGGACGAGCCCCACATGGGGCTCTCTGCTCAGCAGGGCGCCTGCTCCCCCATCCCCCGCCTGCTGCTCTGTTTACTTAGGATCTCTGTCTGTCAAATAAATAAATAAAATCTTAACAATAAAATAATGCCATACTCCTTAAATATATAGCTTTTATTAGAAAAAAATTAAACCTTTTTAGGTAGAACCTTGACAGTAAGACAGATGCCACTTCAGCTCTTCTCTGTGACCTTGACAGCTACTTCAGTTATCTCTAGAAGGACAGGGGCTAACTGATCATTTCCTCCTTCATTTTCTCTGTTCATCTGTGAGGGACGTTCAGCTCTCTCGACCTCACCCAAGTCCCTCCATTCCCCTCCCTCCCAGCTTTAAAAGGTTAGAGAGGAGCCACGCTGAAGAGTATTACGCGTAGCCCCTCCAGATCTCTGAGAGTGTGTGCTAAAGGCAGCCGCTTACCAAAGCCACGGATGCTTCGGCTTCCTCAAGTACCGTTCACGTCTCACCAAGAGCCCAAGTGCATGGCTCGTAGAGAAGATATGGGGTCTTTGCCCTCCAGAAGGAGAATCTGCCCGCGAGTGATATTCCTAGCCATGGTCTCAAGAGTTGACCTCCGTACACTATGCATTGCTTTGCTGAGGGTGTAGGGAAGAACTTCTCATTCCCCACAGGACTATCTATATTTTATATTTCCCTGAAGAAAGAGGCACATATCATGGGCTTAGAGCTACTTGCATTTTTGCACACTGAACACACCTAGTAACTAGCGCCCAGATCAAGAAACAGATGATTTCGATACCCTAGAAGCTCTGCTCCGGCTTCCTCCCAGTCCTCCGGGGGGTTGGGAGGGGTGGTCCCAACCCCCAAGGGTATACAAGTGTCCTGACTTTTAACAGCAGAGATGGGTTTTACTTGATTTCATACTTTATATAAATAGAACCATACAGTGTGTCCTCTTTTGTGTCTGGTTTCTGTCATTCAACATATGTTTGTGAGACTTACTTATATTGTATATGGTTGGAGCTCATAGGACTTTCTCTTGATATTTGTAACTTTTCATCAGTTAAATTATAGTTATTATGAGAGATATGCATAGGATTGCTGAATAGCCAATGTTTACTATCCCACTGCGTGAATAATCTCTTTTCTCTCTCCCCTGGGGTCCATTGTAGTCAGAGTGTTCTAAGGTAGAAGCTGGCTTGGCTGATCACAAGTGTAAATTAATTCTGTTTTGGCTGGGAGAGAGCCTTTCTGCTTTCTAGTAATGGGCACAGAAGCATTTTGTCTCCATAACTTAATTTTTATATTCCCTTTTGTTGAAAGTGTGTTTCACATGAAGAATTAGAGGGGCTCCTGGGTGGCTCAGTGGGTTAAAGCCTCTGCCTTCGGCTCAGGTCATGATCCCAGGGTCCTGGGATCGAGCCCCGCATCAGGCTCTCTGCTCCGTGGAGGGCCTGCTTCCTCCTCTCTCTCTGCCTGCCTCCCTGCCTGCTTGTGATCTCTCTCTCTGTCAAATGAATAAATAAAATCTTAAAAAAAAAAAAAAAGAATTAGAATCCCACTGGTTAAGATAGAGTAATCAGATAAGAGAACTAAGGAATGAGCCCGGCCCCCCTGTCAGTTAAGTGAAGCTTCCCAGGGCTTGCTTTGCTCTAAGGTCGCTTCCAAATGACCCTTTCTCTTGGGCTCAACTCTGGTAGCGACTCTGAAACCTTGGACAATGACTTCTTTCTATGCCTTGGTTTCCTAAAGTTAAAAAAGTGCTTGACCTATCTGATCTTCAGGCTGCCTTCAAAATTTAATATGTTGTAATTCTGTGGTGAATTCTGTGATACCCAATATAGGGTATCCTGAGTTGGGGACTTCCTTCTGGTTGTTGGGTGACCTTTGTTAAATTGTGATAAGGAAACTAGAATCCCCAAGATACAAACAAAAGTGGGTATGGGTATGGAGAGGGGGCTAGCTTAGGCAATTAAAGACCAAATTTCTTGAGGAATGAACCATTTTTTCAGATTCTTTTATCTATAATGGCCAGCAACCAAGATATGCCAAACAGGAATCCAAGTGTATAAAATAGTTAAACCTTTTGTTTTACCTGTAAATTTGGTTCCAGCCGCAAAAGGTAAATCCACATTTCTTTGGAGACACAGGCTTTAGGAATGGTACCTTTATTTCTGGTTCAGCTGTGGACACCTTTGAAAATTCACCTGAGCTTTATGTGAATTTGGATCTATTTCTCCCTGGCAAAAGTCATGGGTTTTCCTCCTTTTTACATTCTTTTTAAAAAAAAACTCTATAAAACTTAATGATTCACTAGCAAAGGTTATGATAACAAAACTCACATTTTTAGAACCCTTTTGTGCTAGGTACAGTACTAAACACTTTATATGCTTAATCTTTATAATAATTCCATGAAGTAGTTGCTATTAATAACCCTATTTTATGAAGGAGGAAACTGAAGCTTAGGGACATTAATCAAAAAAGGAGGTGAGGGGCACCTGGGTGGCTCAGTGGGTTAAGCCGCTGCCTTCGGCTCAGATCATGATCAGGATCCTGGGATCGAGCCTCGCATGGGGCTCTCTGCTCAGCAGGGAGCCTGCTTCCCCCTTTCTCTCTGCCTGCCTCTCTGCCTACTTGTAATCTCTGTCTGTCAAATAAATAAATAAAATCTTAAAAAAAAAAAAAGGAGGTGAGGGGGGCACCTGGGCGGCTCAGTGGGTTAAAGCCTCTGCCTTTGGCTCTGGTCCTGATCCCAGACTTCCGGGATCACGCCCCGCATCGGGCTCTTTGCTTAGCAGGCAGCCTTCAGCGGGGAACCTGCTTCCTTCTCTCTCTCTCTGCCTGCCTCTTTGCCTACTTGTGATCTCTGTCTGTCAAATAACTAAATAAAATCTTAAAAAAAAAAAAAAAAAAAAGGAGGTGAGGCTAGTAGTTAAATCCGTTCATCTCACTCTGGAACCTGAGGTTTCCTCCTACATGCTGTGTTAGGTTAGGACTCTGGGTCTGGTGTGCCGAGTGGAGGATATTCTGGATTTTCTTACTCTTTTCTGTTGAACCCAGATATTTCACTTAGTTCCAGAATTAACCTCACCTTTTCTCTTACACACAAACCTTCCAAAGCTTTGGAGGTGTTAAACATCAACGTTGGGTTGTTTCTCCTACCTGGTGTCTGGGCGGGTCGCTGGAAGTTGACAGTGAAATAAATAGGACAGCAAGGTTTTCTCCTCAGGGGCAGGATCTCTAGTAAGAGGGAAACAAAGACTCATTAAATGTGAGAACTGGCCAGAAATCTGGCTCACAGCTAACTCAGCTAATTTGGGGATGTCAGGGTGGCTACACAATTGGCCCGTCTGTACTACCAAACCCCCTTCAGGGATGCTTCTTGCCGGCCCTCTGGCTTGTGGT